TAAGGATTTCCACCCACAACAAGAACCCAGAGTGCAAGACCATGAGACAGGCAGCAACTGCAGGATCCAGATCCTCCCATCTCAGCCAGAGTTACAAAGCAACCCTTTAGCTCAGCTGCTCGGGACACAAAGCATCATCAAAGCAAAACCGAAGGAACGAGTCTAATGGGAAAACAATCTCCAGTTCCACACAGCCAAACCCAGTTTTTTCTAACTTAGGATACCTCCACAATTTATTTACTTCTAAGTTAAGATACCTCTGCAAGTTGTAGCAGCAAAATTACTAAGTTATAACCTTGTGTCTAAACCACTCTGGGAACTCTCACTTGCTGGCATTTATGCTCATTTATCCTGAACCATGAAAACAGCTGTGGTATCAAAAAAATCACAGGCGCAAATCCAAACGACATCAATGAATCTAAACGAGCAGTATTTTGAAGAACACTCACTTCTGACACTCTGCCTCAGTGACTGAACGAGCAAATATAAAAATAGTCCAGAATACAGCCCATTCATTAAAATATCAGAATAGCACATTTTGGAACATTCATCTTCTTTGCTTCTATCATTTTGGCAGTTTTACAACACACTAAATATTTTCCCCCTTTACAGCTGCCATTTGACAAATCCAATCCAACAGAAGTATCCAAAAGATATTTTATAAAAACGTCTTTCAAATATCACCAAATACAAGAGATATATTTTAATTTCTTTCAGCTCATACTTTTAGAAACACAAATCCATAACAATCCCCTGCTTTTATCTTCAGAATTTGAGACACTAACAAGAACCTTCCAATTCCAGAACCCTCCTTTAGATATAGACACTGAAAGAAAAGCCATATGGAACCTGCATGGATTTTTCAGAGCAGTATCAGGGTCAATGAACAAGCACAAGCAGCAGCAGAAAACTGTTTTCTACCAAAACTTTTGCACACAGAAGTTTTAGTAGTAATATTAAGTAGATGAACATATCCTTTTAAACTTTTTTTACAATTGTTGTATCACCTTTTTGACAGGAGAGGGGTCAACAGTATTCCACTGGAAGAGAGTGGATTTATATTGCGTATTAGGAAGAAATTTTGTAACAAAGAAGATGAGGCACTGGAACAGGTTGCCCAGAGAAGTTGGGGATGTCCCATCCATGGAAGTGTTCAAGGCCAGGTTGGATGGGACTTTGAGCAACCTGGTCTAGTGGAAGGTGTCCCTGCCCATGGCAGGGGGATTGGACTAGATTAAAGGTCACTTCCAACACAAACCATCCTACGATCTCCCCCTCTTTTAATTTCCCCACGGACATTTTAAGCTTTTTATATAAGCACCTTGCTGCTTTCTCTCAAAGCTGTTTACAGCTGTGACGACTTTTACAAGAATCCTCATTAACCGCTTCCAACACTTTCTTTCCAAACTGTTTCCAGAAACAGTTTGCACATATACATATATACACACACACACACACATAAATGTATACAGGTAACACAGCATGGTAGTAACAACATACACGAAACACATTCTCTGTGCTGTCTATCCTGGGCATGGATCTGTTGAGAACACACAGCTCCCGTGCTGGGCAGCTCAGCCCTTCGCTGTGCCCTGCCTCACACAACAGAAACCCGTTCCACAGTTCCAGACTGTAGCTGCTGAAAGATTTGCTCCCTTCAAACTTAAGCTGCCAAACTAAACCTTCAGCATACTTTGCTGTCTTTTAATTTAAGCTGCCAAACTAAACCTTTAGCATACTTTAAGCGTGTTATGCATGATTAGACAACCTTGCGTGCACAACGTGTGGCTCTGTGGTTCTTCATAAGAGCATCTTCAGATAACTGCAACTTTCACCTCGAAGTTTGTGGCACCCGGGGTCAGCGGCCAGAGAACTTCACCTCCACACCACAGGCTAAGGATTGACACACGAAACTTCCGGACACCAGGAAAACCCGACCTTGCAGGTTAAGATGTGGCAGCTGTGGCGGGACACCCACCCTCTAAGGCCCTTTACCACGGCAACGACCCCGAGCACTCGGGGCTAGCGCGGTCACCCGGGGGCGGGCTGGGGGTTCGGACAGCGGGGACGGGGGGGTGCCGCCGGCACCGGCCTCGACGTCGGACACCCCCGGCCGCGGTCAGCGCGGGGCCCGTCCCGCCGAAGGGCCGAGCCTGCCCCGCCGCCCCGAGCCCCGCGGGGGCGGCCCCGCCACTCGCGCCCCGCCGGGCCAGGCCGGGCCCCCGCGGCCCCGCACCCCGGGGCGCACTCACCGCTGTCCCTGCCGGCCGCGGCGCTGCCCGGGCGCCGGTGCGAGCACAGGAAGTCGCGGGCCGCCTCCAGGTCCTGGAAGTGGCCGAAGGGGACGAGGGCGCAGGACATGATCCCTGATCCTGGTCCCGATCCCGGTGCCACCGCCCAAGCCGGAAACCCTCCGACACTTCCCGCGGGCTCCGCGCGGACCCGCGCAGGGCGCATGCGCCACGGGAGCTGTCACGTGGCGCCCACAGCTGCGGGCGGGGGGGCGGTCACTGAGGGCGGTGCCGGGAATTGCTGGGAGGGGCTGTGGGATGGGAAGGGGAGCGCTGTGGGATGGGAAGGGGAGCGCTGATAGGGATTCACGGGGTCAGTTAGGTTGGAAAAGACCTCTGACATCATCGAGTCTAATCTCCGACCCAACCCTGGCGTGTCAGCTAGACCACGGCACCGAGCGTCACGTCCAGACTTTCCTTAGACACCTCCAGGGACGCGCCTCCCTGGGCAGTTCAATCCAATGTCTAATCACCCTTTCCTGTGAAGGAATTCCTCCTAATGTCCAACCTAAACCTCCCCTGGCACAGCTTCAGGCTATATCCTCTCATCCTGTCACTGCTTCCCCGGGAGAAGAGACCGAGCCCCGCTTGAAGACAACCTCCCCTCAGGCACTTGTAGAGAGCAATAAGGTCAACCCTGAGCCTCCTCTTCAGGGTAAACAAGGCCAGCTTCCTCAGCCGGATTTCACTATCCAGGTCTAAAGTGAACCAGCAGGGCCCCAAACACCCATGCTGCTGTGAAGAATAGGTAACACCTCCAGTAGGTAGTGAGAACAGGCTTTCTTTCAGTCTTCATTGCTCTTGCAAATACGAAGAGTTTTTTTTTGTTTTATTGCCAACCAGTTCCTATTCCTCCTCTCGATGCTGAGGCATCTAAGTGGCAGCAGCGATTATGATGAGTGAGATTTGCTGTGGAGTGACATCAGTACAGTGCTGACAGCTGATCCATAGCTTCAAAAACCTTCCCTTAAGGCAAGGAGAAAAAAAAACGTGTGGGAAGAACACCAAGGAATGTTTTCTGGGCCCCAAAGAAACACAAATTGCCCTGTAAAAACAAGACTTAACAAATTTTTGAATGGATCCTAATCAACCATGAAATTTCATATATATTTATATACATAAGGGGTTTCTTTGTTATATATATTTTTACTATATATCTATAAATATAAAAACTCAGTTTCTTGTTTTCACTCAGATGTCTTTTATTTCGTAGATAACAATGTGTGTGTCTTGAGCAGTTAAAAGCAGAAATGACTGAGCAAGTAGTTCAAGTCCTTCTGCAAGTTTCATTTGTGGTCTAGGTCTTCTGGATGGTCTTTAAACACCTCCTGAGACTGAACAGATTTTTAATAAGAGAAGTTTCATGCCAAAGTGGGTTCTCAGGCAATACACGGGTTAGACTGGTATTTAAGCAGATGAATAATCCTGTAGCTATTCAATACAGAGTTGATGAATTCGGTTTTTCTGAATAGGCATAAAATTACAAGCTATGGAGCAATGGGAATGATGCTATTCGAAAACAAGGTCATGGCACAGGAAAGGTTGAGACACTGTTATAAGGAATGGATAATGACATTGAAGATTTGAACATGCATAGCCTGTGAGGAAAAACATGTTTCATGCCATTTTGGATCTGTAACATGCACAGCCATTAGTAATCTCAAGTGAATAAATAAAGAATATGCAAGAAATTAAATTAACAACCATTTTTATCATTCTTTAGTGAAGCTTTCATCACATTATGAAAATTTTCTTATTTTAGAGACTAGTGCACAGTGTAAGACAGTCATATCCCTGCCTGCTTTGCCGTACACAAAGAAGTCGAGTTACAAAAGTGCCAAGAAACCCACTAAAGCATAACATAAGGCAATGAATAACTTAGCGAATAAGTTGATATTTCAAGACAGTCTTGAGCCCTGATAAACTCACATTATAAGTTTGGTTACTGAATTGTGTCTTGTGTGTTTGTTATTCTTTAATATTTACAACTTTTTAAACATTCGTTCTATATATATGGAAGACTACTGGAAAAAAACCCACCTTGAAAAACCTCTCACTTTGAAAACCATCTGACAAAAATATTAAAATATTAATATATTAAAAATAAATATCAAAAAAGTACTTGACATTCAGATAAATGCTTAATACACAAAATTAACAATACATTTGCAGTGGCAAAAATAACCTCCATTGATATAAGTCTTGTCACTGGGAGGCCTTAATGTGTTTACAAAAATACATGATTAGTGTAGATAGAAACTTTTACTTCGGGAAATGAAGGTAGTTATTTACTCAGGGTCAAGTCAAGAAAAGACAAGATATAATGGCTTCAAATTGGCAGAGGATAGGTTTAGATTAGATATTAGGAACAAATTCTTGACTGTGAGGATGGTGAGGTACTGACACAAGTTGCCCAGAGCAGCTGTGGATGCCCCCTTCCTGGAAAGCTTCAAGGACAGGTTTGGAGCCAGGCTTGGAGGAAGCTGCTCTGCTGTCCAAGGTATCACTGCCCATGAAAGTGGGGGGTAAGAAGCAGATGATCCTTAAGGTCTCTTCCAGCCCAAACCATCCTGTGTTGCTCCTCCTTCCACCCCCGTGCCAGATGCCCCAGTGCCCAGAACACAGAACTCACCACCCTGTGACATCAGCCCTGGGGACGAGGCCTTCGCGGGCAACACGGCTGCTGCAGGCACTGCGTCTCTGGTAGCCATGAATTGGCTCTGCCTCCTCATCCTGCTGGCCACGTGTGGGCTTGCTCGCGGCTTATGGGAAAACTGTGGGTAAGTGGCTCCAGGTTCTGGGAAGGAGCTTGGGCAATGCTTAGGGGGTCCCCAGAGGGGTCTGTGCCTGCTTGTCCCCCATGGCAGTGCCACAGCTTCCCAAACCCCATGGGAAAGCCTTATTTCCTTGCCAGCAGCCAGGTGCTGACACAGACAGACACACCTGCCATGGGCTCCCCAGGCCTGCTGTCCATGCAACAGCTGGTGGGGAGGGCAGACGGCTGAGCTTCAGCCTGGGCAGCAGCACAGAGCAGCACAGTAATGACTTTCTGCTTACAGAGGGATCTGTGGGCTCCGACCAGCGGTGTATGACTATGAGTACTTGGTTGATGATCTTGAACAAACACGTGTTGTGGGTGGCACAGGCGCCCAGGAAGGGGCCTGGCCCTGGATCGTCAGCATCAAGCATCCATGGATACCAGGCACGAGGCATCTGTGCGGAGGGTCCCTCATCAGCGCGGAGTGGGTCCTCACGGCAGCCCACTGCTTTGACCATGTCAGGTAAGGAGGAGCAGGGAATGGGTGTATCTCCACAACATGAGCAGGTGCCCTGTCACCAGCACCATGTGTTACTCCCATCCCCTTTGCTTGCAATATGCCCATGGCCTGGGCTCTACAGAGCCCAGCTAAGATGTTGCTCAGGAGAAGGCTGATCTTGTGCCACTGCTTCCTAGCAGCCCCCAGCTCACCATTCCCACAGCCTAAGGCAGACTAGAGCAGTCCCCCCCTCCATAGCACTGAAGGCTGGCAAGGCTGGGCTGCCACAGCACCTGGATCTACTCCCTCTCACCTCTCTCTCCATCTATTTTCCAGGAATATAAGCATGTTGTACTTGGTGATTGGGGCCACCCAGCTGACTAAGCCAGGCCGATGGGCAGTACTGCGCCGGATTAAGCAAGTGCGGATCCACGAATCTTATAATAAAGATGATGAGAGCAATGACATTGCCTTGCTGGAACTGAACAAGCCTGTCCAGTGCAACCGCTACATTCAGATGGGCTGTTTGCCTGACCCCACGCAGAGAGTGTCAGAGATGAAAAACTGCTATGTCGCTGGCTGGGGTTCCACAGTTGCCAGAGGTGAGTTCCCAAGAAAGACTCATATCCTGAAGGCAAGTGAAGCATTCTGGGGGGACAGGTTGGGCTTCCTGACAGCAGAGGACAGAGTCAGCCTGCAGGATGTATGCCTCTGAAGAGATGGGCTTGGCCTACAAGTCAGATAGCAGGGACACAACACTTGTGAGGCAAAACTAAGCCCTAGGGAAAGGGAGCAACCGAGCCAGGGTATGAGAGCTGCTAAGGAGCTGGTGAGTGCTCATTCCTTTCTGTGCCCACAGCTTCAAAATCAAGCGATCTCCTGCAGGAGGCCAAGGTCCACCTCATTGATCTCAAGCTCTGCAACAGCAGCCGGTGGTACGCAGGGGAAATCCACATCCATAACTTGTGTGCTGGTTATCCAGAGGGCAAGATTGATACCTGCCAGGTAGGAAGGAGTGTGTGATGAGCCACTCAACCCCCAGCAGCACAGGCAGCCCGGTCAGCACTGCCTGAACACAGCCTCGGGCAGGCCTTGCCCCGCCAGTCAGTCACCCTCCCAGCCCCACGTCCACACTGCTGTTGGGGCTGCCCTCCCATTCTCCATCCACATGTCCTCGCCCAGTGCCACTGTTTTCAAAGAAAGTCCATCGAGTCCTCTTGGCAGCCCAGAGTCCAGATGGAACCTCTGTCCTCCACACATCCAGAATCACTCTGCAGACATGAGAGAGACTTACCTTGCAGGACCCCACCCCACTCACAGACAAGGTTCTGGATGCTCCAGCACCTTGCTTTGCTGGGACTTTAGCTCTGACAGGGACTATGAGAGAGAAGGAGACAGCACCAGTACCGATGAGGGCCACCCAACATGACCTTAATTCTCTCTGATCCACTGCAGGGGGACAGTGGTGGTCCTCTCATGTGCCAAGATACCACTGCTGACTATTTCTGGATTGTTGGAGTGACAAGCTGGGGAAGAGGCTGCGCAAGAGTAAGGCGGCCTGGAGTCTACACCTCCACTCAGTACTTCTATGACTGGATCCTGTACCAGTTGGGCCTGAACCCATATGGAAGTGCTTCTTGAGCAGTAGGACAGACAGGATCCAGTGCAGGCTGCACCACAACAGGACTGTTTCCTGCTGGGGAAATGCCTGCTGATCCCAAGGCAGTCTCAGTGTCAAAAGCCTGCTCTGTCCTGCCCACACCCCTCTTCTGCGTGCAGGCAAACAGTCAAGTTGACTTAGTTGTTGAAATAAAGTTACCTGTGTTCACAGTTAGCCATGTTTTTGCTCCAATTCCACCTCCTGGGCAAGGGAAAGACTTCCCCTCTCGGCACCTGCAAAACCTCCCATTCAGGCACAAAGGGACCAAGTTTCTCCAAAGGGCTTCAGCTGGGCCTGGCCAGAGAAGAGAGTGCTCTGAGCCACCCTGGGGTGGGGGAAAGTGACACATCAAGCAAGGATAGGAAGAGGGTAGGGAAAAAATCAATGCCTCGTGCAGACACCTTTGGGGGTGATGAAGCCTTACACAAGCTGGGGATTTGGGTGTGGTGTAGGCCTTGGCTCATGGGACAGACCTGAGAAACTCCTGGATGTGACAACCAAGATTCCTGACTCCTGACTGGAGTCACAGTGCCATAAAGAAGAGCCAGATGTCATGTGTAGCTAAAGGGCAGTGATGTGCAAGGTGGTCACACTTTGCAAATATTCCAAGAAAGAGCTGGGATACTTTGGGCAGAGGAACATGGGAGGAACAGCAGGAGCCATGGAAACCACATCAGTAATGCCACAGAAGGCCCAAGGTGAGCCAGTTAGCAACACCTGCAATACCAAGTCTGTTGATAAGTGGGTCAACCCTGGCAGCCAGGGAGAAAAATTCACTGGGGTTGGCTCCTTATTTGGGAGGAGATAAGGGCAGAGAAAGGGAGGAGTCAAGGAGGATGAGAGGGGTGTATAAGTGTGGCAAACAGAGGGCAGGGAGAATTGAGGAACCAGTTGTACAGGCACAAACTACTGGTTGGTGCTCTGGTTTGATGGAGTGCTGTACCTAACCCCCACAGGATGGGAAAGAAACCTCTTATCACAACTTGATTATCAACAAATCATCTAATTACTGTACAAATTCACCCTGTAATTTTAGACCATTTAAATCAACCCCTGATATTTTATTTTAAAAAAAAAAAGTGGAATTGGTAGTGGATCCAGTAAAGCCTTAGGGAAGATATATCCAAGGCAGTTACTGTCTTTTTTAGGTGAAAGCAAGGGAAGGTTGACTTTCTTCACCTATGGAATGCTTCCAAATCCCTTGGGCCAGGTATTGATCTCTCAGCTTCTGGGTACTCTTCTTGGCTCCCAGGGTAAGTGGGTCCTATTTCATGGTGGGTGGCACTCTTCTCTCAGTTTTGATTAATATGAGCTGTGCTGAGACCAATCATGCCACACCTCTCCTGGTCCCTCCCACCCTGGCGTATGCTTCGTAAAGTCTTTCCTGATGTTGGGGGCTGCCTGCTCTCCAAAGACACTGACTGCAAGTGTGTCATGAAAGTTTGGTGTAGGCCATTATCCTACTGAGTCAGTAGACCAGGTTCTAGCTGGCCAATCCCCCTGGCACAATGTCATTGCACGGTCTTTCCAAAATTATGCTGTACATAACAATTTCTCCCAGTTTTGCACAGCTGTTGCCAAGGACATCCCCTTCTCTACAGCGGAGATATTTCCTATCATGTCAACCCAGCATTCAGCACAGGGTCAGAACTACATGATTCCTAAGGACCCTTGCAACCCAAACCATTCTATGGTTCTAGGATTCTATGTTGCTCCTCCCCCCACCCCCGTGCCAGAGGCCCCAGTGCCCAGAACACAGAACCCACCACCCTGTGACATCAGCCCCGGGGACGAGGCCTTCGCAGGCAACGCGGCTGCTGCAGGCACTGCGTCTGCAGCTGCGCTGGTGCAAGGAGCCCTCACCTCTTGCAGCTGACACGTGCCTCTGGCAGCCATGAATTGGCTCTGCCTCCTCGTCCTGCTGGCCACGTGTGGGCTTGCGCACGGCACATGGGACAACTGCGGGTAAGTGGCCCCGGGCTCTGGGAAGGAGCTTGGGCAATGCTTAGGAGGGTCCCCAGAGGGGGCTGTGCCTGCTTGTCCCCCATGGCAGTGCCACCGCTTCCCAAAGCCCATGGGGGAGCCTCAGTTACAGCCGAGTGCTGACACAGACAGACGCACCCGCCATGGGCTCCCCAGGCCTGCTGTCCATGCAGCAGCTGGTGGGGAGGGCAGACGACTGAGCTTCAGCCTGGGCAGCAGCACAGAGCAGCACAGTAATGACTTTCTGCTTACAGAGGGCTGTGCGGGTACCGATCCGTGAGTTATGACTATGGCGCCGCTGCTTATCAATACGGCCACTACGGCATGACACGCGTCGTGGGTGGCACAGGGGCCCGGGAAGCGTCCTGGCCCTGGCTCGTCAGCCTCCATCATGCCTGGATACCGGGCACAGGGCACATGTGTGGAGGGTCCCTCATCCACTCCCAGTGGGTCCTCACGGCAGCCCACTGCTTTGATGATGTCAGGTAAGGAGGAGCAGGGAACGGGAATATCCTCACAACACCAGCAGGTGCCCTGTCACCAGCACCACCTCTTACTCCCACCCCCTTTGCTTGCAGTGAGCCCAGCTGAGACTCTGGGCTCAGGGGAAGCCTGGCCTCATTCCATGGCTTCCTAGCAGCCCCCAGCTCACCATTCCCACAGCCTGAGGCAGACTAGGGCGGTCAGTGTGCCATAGCACTGAAGGCTGCCAAGTGCTGGGCTGCTGCAGTGCATGGCTCTGCTGCCTCTTACCCCTCTCCCTGCATCTGCCTTCCAGCAACATCAGCCTGGTGTACGTGATGATCGGGGCCACCCAGTTGTCTCATCCAGGCCCTGGGGCACAAATCCGCTACGTTAAGCAGCTGCGGACTCACCAATACTATAATAAGAAGAACATGAAGAACGACATCGCCTTGCTGGAACTGGACTATCCTGTACTGTGCAGCCCCTACATCCAGCTGGCCTGTGTGCCCGACTTCACACTGAGAGTGTCGGAGCTGGTATACTGCTTTGTCGCCGGCTGGGGTGCCACCAGTGCCAGGGGTGAGTTCCCAAGAAGGATTCGTGCTCTGAGGGCAAGCTCAGCACTCTGGGGAGACAGGTTGGGCTTCCTGACAGCAGAGGCCAAAGTCAGAGTCCCACTGCAGGACAAATGCCTCTGGAGAGATGGGTGTGGCTTGAACCCAATGTCACACAGCCAGGGAGGGACACAGCACTCCAGCACCTCTCCAGAGGCAAAGCCAAGGCCTAGCAATGGGGCTCAGCCCCAGGCAGGGCAGGAGAATGGCAAGGAGCTGGTGAGTTCTCATTCCTTTCTGTGCCCACAGCTTCAACATCAAGCGATCTCCTGCAGGAGGCCCCAGTCCACCTCATTGATCTCAAGCTCTGCAACAGCAGCGAGTGGTACTCAGGGGAAATCCACAGCAGCAACGTGTGTGCTGGTTATCCACAGGGCTTCATCGACACCTGCCAGGTAGGAAGGAGTGTGTGATGAGCCCCCAGCAGCACATGCAGCCCAGTCAGCACTGCCCAAACACAGCCCTGGGCAGACCTTGCCCAGCCAGTCAGTCGCCCTCCCAGCCCCACGTCCACACTGCTGTTGGGGCTGCCCTCCCATTCTCCATCCATGTGTCCTTGCTCAGTGCCCCCATTGTCACAGAGGTCTGCCACTCTGCCCAGAGAGTCCATCCAGTCCCCTTGGCAGCCCTGGGGTCCAGATGCCAACCCCAGAACATCCATCCTTCACACATCCAGAATCACTCTGCAGAGATAAGAGAGAGCCCTACCTTGCAGGACCTCACCCCACTCAAAGCCAAGGTTCTGGATGCTGCAGCACCTTGATGTGCTGTGAATACATGCCTGGCACCTTGCTCTGCTGGGAATACAGCTGTGGTGTGAGAGAGAAGGAGACAGCCCCAGTGCTGACCGGGGCCACCCAACATGACCTTAATCCTGTCTGCTGCACTGCAGGGGGACAGCGGTGGTCCTCTCATGTGCAAAGACAACATCGCTGCCTACTACTGGGTTGTTGGAGTGACCAGCTGGGGAGAAGGCTGTGCAAGAGCAAAGCATCCTGGAGTCTACACCTCCACTCAGCACTTCTATGACTGGATCCTGGCTGAGATGGCTGCAAGCCCATATGGAAGTGCTTCTTGAGCAGCAGGACAGACAGGATCCAATGCAGGCTGCAGCGCAACAAGACTGTTTCCTGCTGGGGAAATGCCTGCTGATCCCAAGGTAGCCTCAGTGTCAAAAGCCTGCTCTGTCCTGCCCGCACCCTTCTTCTGCATGCAGCAAACAGTCAAGTTGACTTAGTTGTTGAAATAAAGTTACCTGTGTTCACAGTTAACCATGTTTTTGCTCCAATTCCACCTCCTGGGCAAGGGAAAGACTTCCCCTCTCGGCACCTGCAAAACCACCCATTCAGGCACAAAGGGACCGAGTTTCTCCAAAGGGCTTTAGCTGGCCGTGGCCAGAGAGGAGAGTGCTCTGAGCCACCATGGGATGGAGAAAGCAAGGATAGGAAGTGGGTAGGGATAAAAAGAAAGCCACACGCAGACACCTTTGGCGATGATGAAGCATTACACAAGCTGGGGATTTGGGTGTGGTGTAGGCCTTGGCTCATGGCACAGACCTGAGAAACTCCTGGATGTGACAACCAAAATTCCTGACTCCTGACTGGAGTCACAGTGCCATAAAGAAGAGCCAGATGTCATGTGTAGCTAAAGGGCAGTGATGTGCAAGGTGGTCACACTTTGCAAATATTCCAAGAAAGAGCTGGGATACTTTGGGCAGAGGAACATGGGAGGAACAGCAGGAGTCATGGAAACCACATCAGTAATGCCACAGAAGGCCCAAGGTGAGCCAGTTAGCAACACCTGCAATACCAAGTCTGTTGATAAGTGGGCCAACCCTGGGAGCCAGGGAGAAAAATTCACTGGGGTTGGCTCCTTATTTGGGAGGAGATAAGGGCAGAGAAAGGGAGGAGTCAAGGAGGATGAGAGGGGTGTATAAGTGTGGCAAACAGAGGGCAGGGAGAATTGAGGAGCCAGTTGTACAGGCACAAACTACTGGTTGGTGCTCTGGTTTGATGGAGTGCTGTACCTAACCCCCACAGGATGGGAAAGAAACCTCTTATCACAACTTGATTATCAACAAATCATCTAATTACTGTACAAATTCACCCTGTAATTTTAGACCATTTAAATCAACACCTGATATTTTATTAAAAAACAAACAAACAAAAAACCAAAAACCCGAAAAACCACAAAAAACAAGCAAACCAAATTAAACAAACAACAACAACAAAAAAACCAAACCAAAGCAAACCAAACCAAACAAAAAATTGGAATGGGTAGTTCATCCTGTAAAGCCTTAGGGAAGATATATCCAAGGCAGTTACTGTTTTTTCCAGGTGAAAGCAAGGGAAGGTTGACTTTCTTCACCTAATGGAATGCTTCCAAATCCCTTGGGCCAGGTATTGATCTCTCTGTTTCTGGATACTCTTCTTGGCTCCCAGGGTAAGAGCGTCCTATTTCATGGTGGGTGGCACTCTTCTCTAAGTTTTGATTAATATGAGCTGTGCTGAGACCAATCATGCCACACCTCTCCTGGTCCCTCCCACCCTGGCATATGCTTCTTAAAGTCTTTCCTGATGTTGGGGGCTGCCTGCTCCACAAAGACACTGACTGCAAGTGTGTCATGAAAGTTGGGTGAAGGCCATTATCCTACTGAGTTAGCAGACCAGGTTCTAGCTGGCCAATCCCCCTGGCACATCGTCATTGCACGGTCTTTCCAAAATTATGCTGTACATACCAACTTCTCGTAGTTTTGCACAGCTGTGGCCAGGGACATCCCCTTATCTACGGTGGGGGTTTTCCCATCATGTCAAACACGGTGAGGGACTTGAACCCCCTTTTAACATGCTAAAAAGGCACTTCAGCTCCCCTTCTGTGTGTGTGCCGAGGGCCCCTTCCACCCCTGGCACAGTACAAGAGACTCCACACGCCCTGCTCAGGATGAGGGACTCAAGCCTCTCCCCATGCAGGTCTCCACAGCCTTTCTGTGTCATAGCAGAGACTCGAGCCCTGTCACCACACACCTTACGGGGCCCTCCACAGCTCCTCAGTGCGTGCCTTACTCTGACCAGGCCGCTCACCCGTTCTTAACCCACTATCAGTAATTTCACCAAATCTGCATAAAATGCCACACCAATGGAGAGACTCAAATCCACTCTTATTATGTATACAGAATTTGCTCAGGGAATTTTGACACTCCCCCTTTGGCTCCTCCATGCTCCAAAAATCCCAACTGAACTCACCCACTGCCAGCAGCTGCATGTTTGGAGAAGGGAGGCTCCTATGGTATTGACCAAGGCGCCCATCTGGGGTGCCAAACTGGTGAGGAAACTTCCCTGTCTGGCCATTGAGGAAGCATGATCAGCTGCAGTGAGTCAGTAGGTGCCCCGTTTGATTCCCTACACACCCCACTCTCACACAGTTAGACCAGGCTTTTGTGCAGGTTGGGCCCAGGGTTTCCCTTAGCAGAGTTAGAGATGTCCCATTCCATAAAGCCATTTATTCAATGATGCAGTATCGTAGAAGCAGCTCAAGTTGGAGGCAGAATTTTTACAAGGGCAAGTAGTGATAGGACAAGGGGGAATGGCTTCGAAATGTCGGAGGGTAGGTTTAGTATAAATATTAGGAAGAAATTCTTGACTGTGAGGATGGTGAGGTACTGGCACAGAATGCCCAGAGCAGCTGCAGGTGCTCTGTCCCTGGAAGGCTTCAAGGACAGGTTTGGAGGCAGGTCCTGAACAACCTGGTCTGGTGCGAGGAATCCCTCCCTGCCTGCAGCACGGGAGTCAGAACTACACGATCCCCAAGGACCCTTGCAACTCAAACCATTCTATGGTTCTAGGATTCTATGTTGCTCCTCCCCCCACCCCCGTGCCAGAGGCCCCAGTGCCCAGAACACAGAACCCACCACCCTGTGACATCAGCCCCGGGGACGAGGCCTTCGCAGGCAACGCGGCTGCTGCAGGCACTGCGTCTGCAGCTGCGCTGGTGCAAGGAGCCCTCACCTCTTGCAGCTGACACGTGCCTCTGGCAGCCATGAATTGGCTCTGCCTCCTCGTCCTGCTGGCCACGTGTGGGCTTGCACACGGCACATGGGACAACTGCGGGTAAGTGGCCCCGGGCTCTGGGAAGGAGCTTGGGCAATGCTTTTGAGGGACCACAGGAGTGGGCCCACTTGTCCCCCATGGCAGTGCCACAGCTTCCCAAACGCAATTGGAAAACCTCAGTTCCTTGCCAGCAGCCGAGTGCTGACACAGACAGACACACCCGCCATGGGCTCCCCAGTCCTGCTGTCCATGCAGCAGCTGGTGGGGAGGGCAGACGACTGAGCTTCAGCCTGGGCAGCAGCACAGAGCAGCACAGTAATGACTTTCTGCTTACAGAGGGCTGTGCGGGTACCGATCCGTGAGTTATGACTATGGCGCCGCTGCTTATCAATACGGCCACTACGGCATGACACGCGTCGTGGGTGGCACAGGGGCCCGGGAAGCGTCCTGGCCCTGGCTCGTCAGCCTCCATCATGCCTGGATACCGGGCACAGGGCACATGTGTGGAGGGTCCCTCATCCACTCCCAGTGGGTCCTCACGGCAGCCCACTGCTTTGATGATGTCAGGTAAGGAGGAGCAGGGAACGGGAATATCCTCACAACACCAGCAGGTTCCCCGTCACCAGCACCATGTCTTACTCCCACCTCCTTTGCTTGCAGTGAGCCCAGCTGAGACTCTGGGCTCAGGGGAAGGCTGGCCTCATTCCATGGCTTCCTAGCAGCCCCCAGCTCACCATTCCCACAGCCTGAGGCAGACTAGGGTGGTCAGTGTGCCATAGCACTGAAGGCTGCCAAGTGCTGGGCTGCTGCAGTGCATGGCTCTGCTGCCTCTTACCCCTCTCCCTGCATCTGCCTTCCAGCAACATCAGCCTGGTGTACGTGATGATCGGGGCCACCCAGTTGTCTCATCCGGGCCCTGGGGCACAAATCCGCTACGTTAAGCAGCTGCGGACTCACCAATACTATAATAATAAGAACATGAAGAACGACATCGCCTTGCTGGAACTGGACTATCCTGTCCTGTGCAGCCCCTACATCCAACTGGCCTGTGTGCCCGACTTCACACTGAGAGTGTCGGAGCTGGTATACTGCTTTGTCGCCGGCTGGGGTGCCACCAGTGCCAGGGGTGAGTTCCCAAGAAGGATTCGTGCTCTGAGGGCAAGCTCAGCACTCTGGGGAGACAGGTTGGGCTTCCTGACAGCAGAGGCCAAAGTCAGAGTCCCACTGCAGGACAGATGCCTCTGGAGAGATGGGTGTGGCTTGAACCCAATGTCACACAGCCAGGGAGGGACACAGCACTCCAGAGCCTCACCAGAGCCAAAGCCAAGGCCTAGCAATGGGGCTCAGCCCCAGGCAGGGCAGGAGAATGGCAAGGAGCTGGTGAGTTCTCATTCCTTTCTGTGCCCACAGCTTCAACATCAAGCGATCTCCTGCAGGAGGCCCCGGTCCACCTCATTGATCTCAAGCTCTGCAACAGCAGCGAGTGGTACTCAGGGGAAATCCACAGCAGCAACGTGTGTGCTGGTTATCCACAGGGCTTCATCGACACCTGCCAGGTAGGAAGGAGTGTGTGATGAGCCCCCAGCAGCACAGGCAGCCCGGTCAGCACTGCCCAAACACAGCCCCGGGCGGGCCTTGCCCAGCCAGTCAGTCGCCCTCCCAGCCCCACGTCCACACTGCTATTGGGGCTGCCCTCCCATTCTCCATCCATGTGTCCTTGCTCAGTGCCCCCATTGTCACAGAGGTCTGCCACTCTGCCCAGAGAGTCCATCCAGTCCCCTTGGCAGCCCTGGGGTCCAGATGCCAACCCCAGAACATCCATCCTTCACACATCCAGAATCACTCTGCAGAGATAAGAGAGAGCCCTACCTTGCAGGACCTCACCCCACTCAAAGCCAAGGTTCTGGATGCTGCAGCACCTTGATGTGCTGTGAATACATGCCTGGCACCTTGCTCTGCTGGGAATACAGCTGTGGTGTGAGAGAGAAGGAGACAGCCCCAGTGCTGACCGGGGCCACCCAACATGACCTTA